TACCAGTCATTCAAAGCACATATGAATATCATACTTTACTTTCCACCATGGTATTATTTTCAAGTTATTTGGGTAAGTCTCACTAGAACCCTACGCATTAAAAAATTAGAATCAATAACGTATATAATTTCATATTAATGACTTATTATACTCAATGTTTCATCTAGTAATGTTAAATAAAAAATCACAGGCATATTTTTTATAAAGTTCTCCAAATTATTTAAATTCTTGAAATAATAACCTTTCACTGATTTATTTTTTGGAAACTAAGATTGCTTAGATATGAATTGAGCTGATCATGATTGCTTCTGCTTAGACTCCAAGGAGATGTTTATTGTTAAATCTTGTTATCTTTTAACTATCATCCAACAAATTTCTGAGAAGATGGGAATTCTTGTCCGCATATTTACAGAAGCAATTGATATTCCAAGAATTTTATGTTTTCAAAATATTCTGTAACCTTAAATAACCTAAAATTATCTATTTAAAAACCCAGTGCGATCTTAAAAGTATAGATCTAACTTTTTTATCTCATGTTTGTTTCACATGTACTAATTTTTAAAAGTATGTATATATTTAAGTTAAGCCTAATATAAGTGACTTTCAAGCTCCCAGTTTTAGACTAGTTTCTTTTGAGAAGCAAAGTGGGACTGTTGTGCGTGTGTGCATGTGTGTGTATTTATGGGTAAAGTTGTGTCAACAAAATAGCTCACTGGGTTGTAGAAGGTAGAAATAAGCACATCCACATCCAAGCAGGTTCCAAGTGCAGGGGTCATATGTTATGCTACAGAAATCTTGTGTCATTGCTGGGGCTGGTCAACAGCTGGTGGCTTCAGAGGCGAAGGAATCCAAGGTCAGCGGCTCCAATGACAGTCCTATGATTGGTGGGCAATATGACAGGCAGGTGGCCCAAGTTCAATGAATGAGAGGCCAGTGAGCCTCAGGATCTAGACCCAACCAACAAAAAGAAAGCATTCCCACTGTGTCCACTTATGTAGGAAACAGACTGTGACCTAAAAAATCTGTTGTATTTCAGCATTTTCTGCTCCCATTATGGAGGTTTACAACTGGTTAGCTGTGATGACACCATGTTAGGCTATGCCATGAGGAACTCTTCGGTGTTAACTGCCGTATACTGAGAATCCTCGTTCAGACAAGTTGACACAAAACCATTACTATCAAAATCCCCACTTGTCCAGTGGTTTTCAAGACTCAAGGATTATATTGAAAATCATATATGAAGGCAGGCCATCACCAATCATTTGTCCCCTAAAGTAATATATATACATAAAAATAAAAGAAATACCTTTTTCTCAGACTTTAGGCAGGTAAATTGAAGACAGGGGAAGTAATCCCATTACCTCCATAAAATACCATATAACTTAGGGGCATCTGGTGAGACCAAAAGTAAGAGCCATAGTAGTGCTGTATGATAAGCACTGCACTGCTAACCGCAAGTTTGGCAGTTCAAACTCAGCCACCACTCTGCAGGAGGGAAATAGGTTGCCCGCTACTATAAAAATTCCGTCTCAGAAACCCTGGAGAGCACTTCTATTTCATTCTATACATTCTCTATGGCTTGGGATTGACTTAGAGGCAGTAGTAGGGTGGTAGGTAATGAGATTTCAGCATCAGTGCCCTGGTCTCTAGCTCGCTTAAGTGGACCACCATGTCCTTAATTGGTTTTATACTTTGCCCAGGCAATGGCACATAGTGAACTTTCCCACTGATCTCAGTACATGCCAATCTCAGACTTCTTCCCATCTAGAGAAAAAATTACCTTCCTTTTTCCTATACCCCAAAGCACTTCCCTTTCCACTTATTCTTCTCTTCTAGATGCTAGTATAATTGGCTTGATAAGCTTAGGGTTTCTAAAATAATATCATAAAAGGAGTAACTATACAGCAATGACTAATCAACATAAGAAAAGAATTACTGTGATTTGATTATTTTAAATGAACACAAACTATTCAAGCTAATAAGATATAGTGAGACAGTCTAGAAAGAAAAAAAATACTGTATGAAGAATACAGGCCCTAAAAACATAATTTAGAGTGACAGGGCTAAAGTTAATTTTGGAATATAGTCATAGATTTCAGCAAAAAGATGTGGAGAAGCCATGTCATGAAATTCAAGGTCCTAAATCTCACTTACTAGCTATGTGACCTTTATTATTTATTTATTCAGCTGAGTCTCTTCCACCTTTTTTCTAAATCATGGCTGATCAGACTTCACTTAAATAATCATCTTTTCTATAAATATTTATTGAATGTATGTGCCTCAATCTGCACAGTACCTCAGTCAAGAATAAAAAATTAGTATTTTTTATCACCCTCAAGTAATTTAGTTTTAATGGACTAAATTAAATGAAACAAGGCAAAATAATACAGGTTTACAAATTTTGCAAAAATATGATTGTATAAATGCTGGCATGGATATGAAAGCAACAATGTTTAATCATTGCTGAAAGCAAGATAATGTGGCCAACACTTTGGATAGCTTGTAGTAAGTAGTTCCTGGCAATCCAGCAATAGGCTCCAAGGTCTCTACTCAAGTGAGATAAAAACAAAACAGAACAAAGTATGACCACTTAAAAACCTGAATAAAAGTGTTTATATAAATTTTATTTATAATTGCTCTTCACTGAAAGCAACCAAACGCCTTATGGATAAATACACTGTGGCACATCAATAAAATGAAGTATTTTAAACCAAAAAATAAATGAGTTATTAAGTCATGAGTAGTTCTTACATTCATATTGCTAATAGAAAGGAAACCATCAGAAAGTTCAAACCAAATCAACTACCTCCTGTGTAATTCCAAGCACATGACATTCAAGAAAAGGGGAAATTATAGGAGCAGTGAAAAGATGAGTGTTTGCCACAAGGGGAGTGGAGGAAAGGTAAATAGTAACACACAAGACATTCTTAGGACAGTGAAGCTCTTTGGCATATTGTTGTAATGTTAGGCATTATGCATTGGTCAAAACTCACAGGACTTTACCACAAATATTGTGAATCATACTGTACACTATGGATTTAAGTTAAATTTAATTTTATGAGACTTAATGGTAACGATGTAATAACTATAGCATTACACTCCAACAGGGAGTGAAATGAAATAATTCAAGATTAAGATGTTCTTAGTAACTAAAGCAATAAGTGCTGACACCAACAAGGCTCTGTCCAGATTTTTTATACTTGGGAAGATCCCAGGGCATGCAAAAGGCAAGAGCAATTTCCACTCCATGTCCTCCCAAGCATCATCTCTTCTGTGATAGGTTTACTGGGTCAACTAAGCCTCCATAGGAACAAGTGGGCAGAGTCTAATCAGGTCATTGATGGATTGAAGGGCTACCGAGATAAATATTTTCTGGTGGCAGGCATCCAGTCTTTTTTCCTCCCTGGTGACCAAACCAGTGTGCTGCTGCTTGAGGTAGTTCTTTGCCTCAACCATGTGCTGCACTACCTGTGAGCTGAGC